GTAGGTGGTCGGCCAGCTTTCGGCGCAGTTTCCGTATATGTAGGTATACCTACTTAATTATAAGCAGGCAGTTTCCGCTAAACCACTTGGCGAGGGCGACTGCGGCGTCCACCCGATCCTGGTTTGTATAACTTTTCCATTTTTTTTTTATAACCATTTGCTCTAATGGTACATACCTGAAAAAGAGATTAATTGGTTTAATTTACATTGCATGTTTGCTTGAAAATAACTTATTGTTGCATTAATACTGTAAAAGCACTTCTCATTGATCCGTATAAAATGATCATTCGATTTTCGACGCGGACAGAGAATGAGCGTACTCGGTGATAAGTAGATAAATAATTGTGTTTTGTATTTCATTTTCCTGGTTCAGAAGTGCTGGAATTTCACAAAGATATAAAGGCAGGGAATGCGGCTTTTCTGAGCGAGGGTATAAATCGCCAGGCTGAACAGCTATTCAGCTTCATGTTTGATGGCGTGAAACTCAGTCAAAATCATGACGTTTACATACCATCAAGCGCACCATTCAATACACTTACCTACCGTAAAACTCCATGCTAGTCCACTTGATAAGAGCAGTGAGCACTATCCCTTCTTCGCGCTGTCACACGCGCCCAAACATCAACCACCAAATGCCCCAACACCGGTGTGTCGTTTCGTCGCACAGCGCACAGACTGTCACAAACGCTGCACATGATTGGCGCAGAACTGCGCATGCGCGAACAGCCGAACAAGTATGGCTAAGCTCCGGCTTTACTCCAGTTAGCCGAAGGACACAGCCAGCTTGATCAGCCCGCGCTCCGCCCAAGTTAAGCCTGTTTTGGATGCGCGGGCAGATGTCGGGCTGAGCTACTGCTATCCGCACGTGGGTATAGCTGCGGCATGCCCCAGCTCAGCCCTAGTAAAAAATGCATTAGTTTTGATCAAATTGGGCAAACCCAAGCTAAGCCCAAGCTGCCCGACGTTTGCCACAGTTCAGCCCAAGCGAATTGCTGGCTGGGCTGACATGACCTGACCTGACCTTGATCTTGACCTTTGAATGACATTGTATGCAACGAATATTGTCTTGGTAGTCTAAGAACACGTTTTGGGCAATCAGTCTCAGTCCATTCTTCGGCAACTACGGTGCAAGGCCGATACTGTAGAAACTTGCATCTTGTACCCTTGACCTGACCTTGACCTGACCTCTGACCTACTTAAGCAAAAAAAATTGGTTTCTTGAGATCCGCCTTGTTGAGAGCTTTCGATTGCCGTTTTCCCCGTCTTTCTACGACCATCGGTTCGGAAGTTAGACAGGGGGGGGGGGGCAGAATCTGCCCCCCCCCAGCAGGGCGCGTATGGCTGAATAGCCCAGCGGGGCGCGGGTTAACGTGAAAAGTTTGGATCCGTCACTTCCAGCCAGGCTCTCAGGTCATAAACTGGAGCAAAGCAAAATGTAAACTCTGAACAGACATGCCACGCAACCGGCCCTCTTTTCAATATTATTAGCTTTCTGCAATCATCGTCTGACTCCATCTTGATCAAACGCAGCATCCGGTTTCTACAGGGGTGTTTGACTGACCGGCCACACAATAGCCAAAAACAAAATCAAAGCTTCATGCACACATATGACATAAGTAAGAAACGGATGAAAAAGGCACAACCACGGCACAACTCTGCGCGGCAAACAACGGACAATGTCCCACGCAAGATCCCGCGTTTCTTCAGCGGCCTTGAACGGAATGAAAACATTACATTTCTTTTTTGGAGCTATTTGATGACGTCAAAAAATACAATACCCGTTTTAATGGTCAAAATCGAGACAATTACTCACAAAAATGTTTCCCTTTAAGCATTACAAATAAATGCTTTTAAATATTTAAATGACGTTGTTTTTTCAAACAAATCAATATTATTTGCTCATATACATACAATGCTGAGATCACTACGGGGCTGTCTTAGAGTGTAGCTGCACTGGCAACCTTTAGGCTAGACTCCAGGGGTCATTATACCAGAACAACATGATTCTACCAGCCAGTAGTTCATTTTTCTACTAGATTGGTGCTACGCTCAGCATTTAGGTGCCAGATTCAGAAAACAAGAGTAAGGCGTACCGATGAATAGGTGCCAGAAACAGCTAATTAAGGTCATTTTCCATGATTGGTGCTGGTATCCACCAAATAGGTGCTGAGGACCAATTTTGGGGCGAGTCAGCTTTTAGGTGCCAGAAATAGCTTTTCTGGGACGCAATTAAATGGCGTCCTTTTAGAAGGTGGGATAGTCCCTTTAAGCAAAAAAATTGTGCTCTTAAGATCCGCCTTGTTGAGAGCTTTCGATTGCCGTTTTTCCCGTCTTTCTACGACAATCGGTTCGGAAGTTAGACAGGGGGGCAGAATCTGCCCCCCCCCCCCAGCAGGGCGCGTATGGCTGAATAGCCCAGCGGGGCGCGGGTTAAGCAAGAGAGCCTCTAAACGTTAAGTTTAGGTGAGAACGAACTTATGGGACACCCTGTACGCTGAATCGACTAGTGGTGCTTTTGTCTCGATCGGCAGAGTAGTTCCTGAGTTACTGAATACCTGCCAAAGGCGACAACGGTGGTATGAGACTGACCTCCCAAGGTCACCAAGGTCACTTGAGGTCACCATCTTCAAAAAGGCTAATAAAATTCTACCCCTTGATTCGAATGGTGTTTAGTTCGTCCCGATCGGTTAGTGGTATAGAATGGCTGCAAGGGTGGCGGTCGAAGGTCGAATAGTGTTGTCCAAATTTGGCAGCATTGTGGCAGCACACTGCTACGTGCTATCTGGCGCACGTGAGACATAACAAAGCGTAACCCAGTCAGGGGCGGTGTTTCACGGGACGCTGCTACCACGCTGCTATCAAATTGCGCGAGCTGACGTCACACTTGCGGTAGTGTTGGAGCAATGGGCCTGTTGATGTTACCATGGAAACCCAATTTGACACGTGTAAAACCAGCGTGCTGCTATCACCGGTGAAACAGGGCCAGGGTATATAGAACAACGGGTACACCAACCACGCGGAAAGCGCCCATTTTACCAGGATGAGTTACATGGAAGGTGATATATTTTTTGAATATGGAATAAATAGCGTATTCCACTCTGACGAGTAAAGCGAAATTCATAAAGCAGTTATTTTTAAATTATATGAACCAGAAATAACATACTAACCATAGTTTAAAACTTAGAATAAAGTTAGTTGAAAAACCTATAGTTGATACTAAAATGGAAGGAATCTATGGAAGGCGGAAATGGCGCAGCTGTTTCATTCTCAAAATGTGTTCGCAAGCAGGATTTACGTGATGCTAGCGACATCTATTAATTTAATCGGGGACGCTCATTGGCTGATCGACTCCGTGAGCAGTATCGCTAGCTTACGCTAGTACAGGGTTGAGGCAATGTGCGCATGCGCAGGAACTAGTGCCCTTATGGAGGGGCTTTTGGTACCTTGGGCAGCGCCCAATGCTTTTTGGACCCGTTACGGCCCCCGCATCGAAAAACGCTAGATAAAAAGGTTGTAGGGGAAGCTTTAGGCTACCTTTCCCCACAATAATATTGGCAATTTATCTTTTAGCTTACGTGTGGGGCTCGCTTGAAAAAGGTCGATTTAACATGCAAACCCTATGGGGTAGTAGTTTTTGAGCGCCCATTTGGCCTAATGATACCAACTGTTACAACCCAGTAACCCACTGTGAGTGGGGTTGGGAAAAGCACAGTGGAAAAACAGGTATGGATTATAGAGATCTTATAATATTATAAGATATTGATATTATAAGATCTTATAATATTATCATAAGATCTCTATGGCATGGATGAGTAACAGTAGGTAAGTAATCCATGAAGCAGGGAAGAGGATCACGTGACTAGTGTCCCAACCCTATCTGTAAGAATCTTGGCCCACTGAACGCGTAGCGACAATGTTTATTTCGCACGTTTGTATGTGGCCTTCTTGAGATTGTTTGATACATATGAGGCCTTAGGCAAGGCCGTACATAGAAGGTAGAACAGTTAGCCATTTGTTTACATCTGTGACCTTGACAGATGACGTCAGCGGGTGTCTACCAAATACCAATCTTCGCCAATATTTATCTTCGAGGATTGTATCCTCGAAGGAGCCCTCCCTATGTGGCAGCATAGATTATAGAACCGTAACCCCCTGGCCTTAGGGCTGTTCGGGTCTCTGCAGCATAGATCTGTGCTGCGTGCGTCATACTTTTGTGACGTCAACCGCCTGGCTCTGCCTGGCTTGATTGATCCTTTTGGTTTTGGACAATTCCAGAAAGTAATCAGGAATCAAACCTGGAGGCTGGAACATGGGAAGGCTGAATCTAGAGGCAAGGAACTTACCCCTAGACCAGAATGCTCCCCCAATCCAATCTGATTCTTGAGACTTGATTCTCTCAAAGCCTACTTAAATTTGCAAGTCAAAGTGTGACCCCGAAGTTGAGGTGTGTAGGTAACAAACTAAGGAAATAGTCATACCTAGTGTCTGCTGGGGAAGTGTATTATGCAATGACCAATTATATCACTTAGTTCAAAACTAACTGCGCTTATCAGCTGAGCTTGGCCTCTGGGATAGGTGGCTGCATTCTTGGCATTCTTCTACAGCCTGCTCACCATGTTCCTGCTCTAGGCACTTTTCGGAACAAGAAATGGAATATACCTATTTGCAGAGGGTGATTGTTGGGCCATGAAAGCTCCTAATTTTTGTGCTAGTCTCAGCTCAAGCTACAGTGCTGTTATTCCAGTTCAACATCCAGTACTACAATTGGTATTTTCCTTAAACATTTGTGAGCCACCCTTCAAATTGGGCCCCAAATTCACAAAATCATTCAGTAAAGCTCAGGTAGACAGTAGACACCTACTTTTCACTTGAAATGGTTGTTGACACTACTAAAATTTTAATTGCCTCCTTATCATGCACATGTCCCTCATCAATCACTATTGAATATTTGTTTCAAAACTTGAAAGCGAATGAAAACTAATAATCTTTCTATCTTGCAGAACTATTGATAACAGGATGTTGAACATGGCAAGTATAATGTGGAGGCCATGCTACTCAAGAATGATGTCTTCGAAGCCACCATCAAAACATCATCTAGCAAGGCAATTTGATAGCAGAACAAAACATGGCCTGGGTAAGAGTATTGTCAACCAGTAATGGGACACAACAATCAACATAGAAAATAGACCATGTTTTGCAAACTTAATATGTGCATATGAATTTGTATGATTTCCATGGTAAGTCATATTGCATCTCAATGCAATACCTACCCAGCCATTTATATATTAAGTTTTTTTTTCCACTCTACAGTGTTATCGAAGCACAGATGAGTTTAAAGATGACTGTCTTACAGTTTGTGCTCTGTATGTTACAGACTTTCACAATACTCTGAGATTTCATAAGGAACCAGAAATGGCTTCTATTTATCAGATGGATCCTGAAGCAAATGAAATGGGTTTACAAGCACCAGATAAGATTGCAGCAGCTTTTCAAAGGTTTGTCCCAACCCCAATGTTGATATTTCTGCACTACTATGAAGTATTTGCATTTGTGCTTATATTGTTATAAGCAACTAGCTCAAGATTGTGGTATTGTACAATGCACATATTATGAAGTGGGTAACATTAGGCATTTTGTCACTCAACATTTTCAACTCAAGCACTCTTTTGGAACTCAAAACAATGCAAACACACACCACAGATATACTTCACTGTGTGATCAGCAGCGCAACCAACCTGACATTCCAGGTACCTGATTATGGCATCCCAGTTATATTCCAATAGCTTACAAGTTTTGCAATTTCATTCTGTAGTCAACTGTACCTATCTACATGGTGATGTGCTTTGCAAGATTTGAAAACATTGTTAACCAGTAAAACGCCTTTTGGGCGAAGAACGAGCGAGCGAGATAGTGAGCCCTGCACGTGCGCAAGGGCGAGAGGGTGCTTCCAAGTTCCAACGGGCTTGTGCAAAGCACCCTTCTAACCGGTCGCTAGCGGTGTGCCAAATTTGAACGCAATCGGCCCAGCCGTTCCTGAGATCTGGAAGCGGCATTCTGCACGTGCGCACGTGCAAGCGGGGTCCAAACTGACTTTTGCACGGCACCCTACTAACTGGTCCCCAACCGTGCACCAAATTTGAGCGCAATCGGCCCAGCCGTTCTCGAGATCTGGGAGCGCCCCCTGCACGTGCGCACGTGCTGTAGCGCCCCAACCTTAACACATGCAGATGAATTATCTGATGGAGGCCTAACTGTATACCGAGTTTCAATTCAATCGGCCCAACCGTTGTGCCGGTATTGAGGTTGCAATTTTGGGGGTTCTTAAAAAATGTCCAACTTTACCACGCGCCAAGTGCGGTGGTTGGCAAGAACGCATGGTGGCCATCACACCACAGAACTTTTACGTCCAAGTGACATTCAGTAAAGAAGACCGCTTGTCAATCGGATGTCCCGTTCCTAAGATATTAGCTTTTGAAGAGCGTCCCCACGGCCGGCCGGCCGGCCGCTCATACTCAGGATTTTCCCTTAATTCAGTATGAACTCGCTCGCTCGCTGCGCTCGCTCGTAATTATTCGGGCTTCACCCCGTTGTCATTTTACTGACGGTCATCTGGATATCATCCAAATATTTCTTTTCCTCAGTAGAAGAGATTTTGAAATGTGAGACATGTGCCCGCCCCTTACTGACGTGTCTGCCTCATATCTGATCTGCAGCGAGTACCGCCGCGCACGGGCGGGAATGAACCGAGCTGCCGCCCGTCGCCTGATGGAGCGGGGCGTTCAGGAGCCCAACCTGCTGACGGCCGCTCAGAAAGCCGAAATGCGCCGACTGGCCGCTGATGACCCGGAGCACTGGCGGCCGCCGCGGCTGGCAACCGCTTTCGGAGTTTCGATCGGCGCCGTACAGGTAATGTGTCTCAAAATTGCTTTTGGGGTTATGAGTGAGCGAATTCAGGCCAGCTGCTGGCTTTGTACCCGAGCTCACTCACACTACCCGAGCTTGGTCGCAATTGCAGTTCCTTACACCGGTAGCATGTTCTTCCACAGTATTGCATTTCTATTCAATGACAAGTTGACTGATTGCTTTTGTTTGACAGAGGCTGCTGAAGAGCTGTTGGCAGCCGACATCGCCTAAGGAAATAGAACGTCACGACCGTAAAGTGGCAGCACGTCGTCAGGCGCTGGGCCTACCGGCGCCACCCGTACAGCCGCCCCTTGCTCCGTCTACCGCACCGGAGACCCCCCGTCGGCCACCGGGTCCCATGACGGCCCTGCTACATATGTTCTCACAGCCGCCCGCGGTACCGGCCGACGCCCGCGATGAGAAAACCCCGGCAGTAAGCGCCATCTACTCCAGGGATGATGTACTACAGTTTCCCGTTTCTGGCGCTGGTAGCGACCCAGGCAGTGAAATGCGGAGACTAGATGTGCCTGTGAATGTTGCTAGAAAGCATATGACCTTCAATGAGCTGAAAGAAGCCGAGAAAAATATGGAACGAAAAAAGAAGTTAAAAATCAGAAATAAACTTCCAAAGGTCTAAGCTTGCAATTCTTATGCCTTGAGATATATTGATATTTAGTAGCTTTCAAGATACATATTCCCTGAGGCCTGAGCTATTGATATTGTGATTTCACTTGGTGGGTGTATATAATGTTTTGATCATTTTAATAGGAGACAGTAATAAAATACTGTTTATTAAAAATGTTCCTTACATCATTGACACTACAGCTTCAAAGTACACTTGTGCAGAGCTTAAAGTGGGACAGGTCGAACTAAAACTAACAGACCTCGAGTCATCAACTTACTACCCATTATCCCACTTTAATAACCCAGAGCTCCACAACAGGTATGTGGAACTACACGAGACACATTTCACTGGTCCATGGCAACCATGTGTGCATTAAAACTAAGGCTGAGTCGTGCCTGGGGCTCAGAATCACAGGCGAGGGGAGCAGTTCCGCCTCTGGCACTGGCAGTGAGGGGCTGGTCGTGGCTGCGCTGACGGTAAATCACGCGCCGGTAGTGTTGGCTCGGAGTGAGGCCGGTAACGGCACTCCAAACGGCATCACACAACTGGTATATACACACACACGAAATACAGTTCACAGGTTCACTACACAAATCACTCGGTACACTCGAGACAAACTAGCATGCGATCAGCAACTGCAAAATAATGTGCATGTTCGAAATACAATACTTACACTAAGTTCGTTGCAATGAAACCTAACAAGTAACAAACCAATGGATGCAAAACGTTTCAGACCACTCGACCTCAGACTACACAAGCAAACGAAACACACGATCAGTAACACTTTCGGCTCGTCATAGGCACGTAATGTTGGCTGTCGCCATCATGGGACAGGTCCTCACCAGCATCGCGACAGAGGTTACTCGTCGTCGTCAGATATCAGGCCATTGTTGGAAAAGTTATCTGTGCTGCCACAAGCCGCCTCTTCTACCACCTGCCAACAAAGGTAAATGATAATTAACCAGTCATCAAATGTGTCATTCAAGGAAACCCAGTACAACCATTTACAAGAAAAAAAATATGACTGCCGAGGGGCCAAAGGACGAATGGTCTGGTGGAATTTCGGTGGGGTAACTGCTTATGTTTAACCACGGATCACGGAAAATCTGTATAACTACTAAGTGTGTACAAGCTATAGGCGCTAGGCAGTATTGTATCGATGCGGTAAAATCCTTGAAGCTATGCATAATTTCACCAGACAATATCTGTAGAAGTTGGAAGCCACTATATTCCGCCGATGGTGCGTTAGTGGTGATGAGTCGGCAGAACGCACCTCCGGCGACTGTGACCGCTCGACAGGCTGGTCCACGACCTCTGATGAACCACCAGATGAGGAGCCCTCGGACGAGCCGCCGGCCCCGCTAGCGGCACGTGGCACGGCTGTGAAGAAGCCGGCCACGGGACGCTGCCAGGAAGGTATCGGCTGCGGGTGGTACGAGTTTCCGCCGCCGCTGCCACCACCGGCTCGCTCTTTCCCTGGGAGACAACGCATGGTCACAAAGGTACAGCACGTAAGGTGGAAATGGGGTACTGACTGCTTCTTAATTGAGGTAGATTGTGTCAGTGAGCTTCAATAAATCAAACAGAACTGACCCATTATTCTAAAAATGGGCTGCAAAAGGCAAAGATGCAGTTGTTAAAAAGTTGAGAACACTCTTATAAAGACACGACTAAGTCTGCTATTCCAACATTGTCAGACATTGTGTAATTGGGCAAAAGTATTGAACAAGGTAAAGGTAACTTTGCAAAACAGCTGTTCTGAGGTTGCAACAAAATGAACCTTGCATTGTTAACTTATAAATATTGGTAGTTGAAGGCTGAAGCCAATTTTAAGAGCTTTGAGATTTTCTGGATTTTGAGTATAAGTAGGTACTCTACCCAGGTAGCATCCTCACCTTTCATTGAAGCACCCCTTGGTGATGAGACTGCTACTTTACGAGGAGCTTTTGCTCCAGTGGCTGAAACACAACTGGTGTCACTAAAACTCCACCTTAATTTACTATTCTGACTAAAGCAAGCATCATCAACCAAACAATAAATTATAAAAGCCATTGTACTTTTCTAGCTGAGCTATTAAGTAATGGTAAAACTTGACCGCACCTAGTAATCTTACATTAGCAAGCAAAATGCATGCTTGACAGGACACTGATAATTCAGGCTGACCCTAATACCTTCCAAGTGGACAAATTAAAGTATCCTCCATAATAATGAATTTGTGAATACTTCGGAACCATTCACATTTTCAAAGCAGCAGCAGGTTGCTTGTCAAAAATTATGATCACTGATAAGAAATCAACTCACCTTTGATGCCATCTGCCTTGGTACGCACCATTACAAAAGTTGGTTTACTGAAAAAGATGAAAAACTTGTAAGTAGTGGTATGGTTCAGACACAGTAGCATATTTTTATCCATTTACAAATTCCAAGGATTAGATCCACATGACTGCATTGAGCGTTACAGCCACATCAGTTGGGCAAACTAGACCTTTGGAATCAAAATATGGAGGCATCAAAAGATTGATTCCTTATGACCATATTTGGGCATAAATGCAGACCATTTCTAACTTACCAATCACATAAAGATAAGAGAGTGTTTCAAGAAGGAGCATGCCTGATCTTGAACAGAAATGCTTGAAGTATCTCCTAAGCAAAATAATATTGCTCCTATCACAACAATTTTAATTCTATAGGTAGTGAAAGGCAATCAAGAAATTGATTCACTTTGAACAGATAATCATAATATTGATTCCCCATCAGCTGGCTAATCATTATTTTGATTCACAGGTAATGTTAACAGATAGGCAACAATGACTTGCAAGAATACAGCATATATCTTGATATTATTCTCATTTAGTGGTATCCTCAGCACCACAACAGATACCTATAGCATTGTTGTACTTTACCTTCACTACATTTGATAACAATTCACAATTTTGAAATGTCAAGAATACAAAAACTGAAGCACCAGGTAAAAACCATATAATAAATATAAAAGCACTACAACAATGATAATTAGGGGTTTGAAAATTTCATTTTGCCATTTTACACAAATACTGATTGTTTAGTATGTGATTCATGATACAAAAATAGCATACAGTGTGATTTCCTCAAAACAGCTTTTACGTGATGGACAGTGCCTCTGTCTTTTTCCCATTCACAAGGCCAAAGGGACAATTTCTTAGTTTTGAGGTAACACTTTTTGCAAAACTACCACATTTTTCTACCTTTTTAAAGAAAAATCTCACCGTCATGGGCCTTTTTTCAACCGTAACGATACATTTGAAGTCAAAAGTGTACCCAAATGAATCAAAAAATTGATTCCATGCCCATATTTGGTCATGGCTCCTCCCACCAGAATCAAATTATTGATGCCTCCATATTTTGATTCCAAAAGTCTAGTTTGCCCAACTGACATAAAATTTACATATATATTTACAAACTTGAATATCAGACCCACATAGCTCATGGCATGACCATTAATGTGTATTTTGTTAACCATAAGCTTTCATCATGCATTAGCTACTTTGATTGGTAAAAATTACACCAAAAGGTCCCAGAAAAATTCATGCGCACGTCGTCGTTTCTTATAGGTATCTTGCGTCGTCCTACTTTAGGGGCTGAGGCAGCTGCAGTAAAAAAAAATACCAAGACTCCAGCAACGGACTGATCGTACTGTTCCTATTCACACATACTTAGATGTTATATTATGTGGGAATCTTAAAAACAAAATGAATGCTTGTAACTTACCACCTGACCAATACAAAGCCACAGCAGGCTCTCCCAACCCGACACGGCCCTGGCGCAGAAATGACTGTTTTCGCGCCACAAACCGGTCTGGCAGATTGAAAGTCGCGCCAAGTTCTTGCTAAACAGCTGCAAAAAAAAAACATAAACAACGAAATAAACGGTAGTAGGTAGTAAGGTATTTAAAGGTAGTGTGCCAGCTTTCCTGGACCGTATGGAGTTAATGGCCCAGATAAGGAGAACCGGATTTTTAGAACTTATCCATACCTTCAATTACCGTGAAGAGCTTCTCGAGCTAGAAGAGCGCAAGAAAAGGCGGTCCTCCGTCGTGATCCGTGGGTTGAGAGCAGGGTCTCCGAGTGAAGCTGCATCTAGATTCGGAGAAATCACAGTTTTTGATATCAGAAAAAGTGACACTGTCAGACATCTGCCGGATCAAGAATGATGCGGATTTGTACAGAGGCAACATCCACAGCCCTAGACAAAGAAGACTCATTCTGGAACAAGCAAAGGACCTGAAAAACTCTCAATTCTCACACGTTTATATCAAACGGGACCTCACGTACATGCAGCGCATGCAGCTCCAGACAAGATACCAGCAACGCCAAAGAGAGCACACCACCAGTCAGCACCGCAGTACTGAAGTATCCCAGGCCGAGGGGACAGCCAGCGCTCCTGGAAGGATGTCAGCGGAGAACACAAGCTCACCAGAAGTACAAGCTTCAACACCGCCAAGGAGCGGCCCCCCTCGGTCACTTCCGTCAACCGAGGCTCACGATCCTCCTCAAAGTGAGGTCGCGCTCTGGCAGCCCGGTGCACCTCGCCAGCCCTCAGACATAGCCGGCGAACCCGTCACTCAGGCTCCTCTGCAGCGGGTTACCGAGACGTCACCACTTCAGCCTGCCCCACCGCCTGGTCCCGACCCAACGCGCCCGGGCAATGGAAGCTCGGGAAACGGAGGGCGCTAGGAAAGGCTGAACATTCGTTTGCTATCACATTTACTCATTGCAACATGAACGGCTTATGTGGCAAACTACTGAGCTTACAAGACAGTGTTCTCCGTCCATGCTCAACAGACATACTGCTTGTCTCAGAGACTCATCTAACAGAAATCATAAGCAACGCATCCATTCATCTCTCTGGCTACACTGTCTTGCGCAATGACAGCGGATCATCTAGTACTCACGGAGTATGCGCGTTCATAGCTGAACACATACATTTCGATCAGGTGGACACATCATTCAAGAATGTTCTTTCATTTCGTCTGACGAAGTTCAACGTCTTTGTATACGTGATCTACAGACCTCCCTCACTCACAGCAGCTGAAAACAACTTACTGATCTCATTTCTCCAAGAGAGCTGCTTGGGGAAGGAATCAATTCTTCTTGGTGACTTCAACCTGCCGTCACTGAACTGGTCATCACCTGAGGGCATGCTAGGGGAGGGAACAGCGTCAGACATCCGCTTTTTGGACCTGTTTGACTCTCTTGGCATGACGCAGTGGATCACCGAGGCTACTTTCCCCCGCTCTGGTAATATACTGGATCTCGTCTTCACCACCGAGCAGGACAGAATTGGAGAAGTTTCGGTTCTCCCTCCACCTCCCGGAAGTGACCACTGCACCATTCTCTGTCGCTATATCTTCGACATCGACTTGCAGGAACGACCCACCTGTCCGGCCCCTCTCCTGGCTTGGCATAGAGGAAAGTAGGGGAGAGTGGGGTAATTTGGCCGGTGGTGTAAATTGGCCGCCCCCACCTGTACGATGTCTTATAAAAGTGAGTGAAATAACTCTAGTCTCTATTCATTTGTCATGGGTAGAAATAACTGGAGGACAAATGTCAAAACTTTGCCCCTCGTAGTTTTATTCAAAATTAATAAAACGTTAATTTCATTAGAAAATGGTAACTTTTACTTCTGTTTACAAAGTTGTATAACATGTAGTATTTGGGCTAAAAACGAATTCAGACATTATAGCGCCATTCTTGGGGGTGTTCAGCGGTTCCAAGAGCAATTTTATCAAATTCCGTACAGCCGTGATGACTTTATAGACATAAATTTTCAGAATGGCAATATGGGGTAATTTGGCCGGGACTAGTGGGGCAACTTGGCCGGTGTGCTCATGGTCACTATGCTGGGACGGCCGAGTTTTCATGGTCAATTGTACCATAAATGACATGATTCATGACCAACTTTGACTACTTTGATGCCTTACTTCCGATTGGTCAACTGTAAGAGCATGTGACGTCATCAAAGGTTACCAAACGTTTTTTGCTAATAAATCCTTACATAAAAATGATACAGCCGCACAAATGGTCTCATTCTGTTCAGCTCGCCAAGGCGCATCGAATGATATGCATGATGACCTTGAAATCACGTGACCTTGAGGTTAAGCGACCTGATGCAACGTGACCTGAGGTCAACCTTTGACCTTGACTTCTCAAGGTCAACACATATATCTTTCGATGCGGACTGACGAGAGAATTACGATGGTACTCAAAGTTTTGGCCTAGCTTGATTACTTCAAAAGTTATTCGTAAAAAACGGTGATCGCATCTAGGGCCGCTAATTTGGCTATTTTGACCCCTGTGACCCCTGAGCCAACCTCCAAAATGCAGCAAATGCGTCATAGGACACACGTCATTGCTGAATCTGAAGCTGACTCGCAATATAACAGAAAATCCCGACCGCAAACTAACACCGGCCAAGTTGCCCCACACCCCCGGCCAAATAACCCTGCTAGTGGGGCAATTTGGCCGCCTTGCAGACCTTTGTAATACGTCACAATTTCAATATAAGTAATTACTCTATCATTTCAAGTTCACTGTCCAGTAAAGTAAAATGAATGCGACACCTGCCAGCGTTGAGAAAATGCAGAAATGTGTCGTCAATTTTAAGTTATATCGTTTTCTAAAAAAAGCGGCCAAATTACCCCACTCTCCCCTATGATAAAATGAACAGTGCCCTCGCCGATGTTGATTGGGAGGTAGAACTTCGGTATTTATCAGCCCAACAGGCATTTGAGCATCTGCTGGTAATAGTGACTTCGTTGATCAAGAGGTATGTTCCCACCAGGAAACAAGGTTCCCAGTCCAAGAAGCTGCCTTGGAAGAGAAACCCCCCAAGCTCACTCAAGCAAAAACGGTCATCGGCATGGGCGGCCTACAAGAAAGCCAGAGAAAACTACGGCAGGAGAGCAGCAATCACCAAGTCTTTACTTACTTCATTCCAAGAAGTGAACAAGGAGCTACGCAGCTTTGCCTCGCGCTCTCAAATCGACTATGAGAAGTCACTGGTGAGTAAAATGAAAGACAGCCCGAAGCTCCTGCACTCTTACCTGCGCCACAAGAAGCAGTACCGTTCTTCGGCAGGTCCTCTGAAGGCTCCCTCTGGAGCAATCACAGACGACCCGAGCTCGATGGCGGATATCTTCATGAACGCTTTCGCAAGCGTTTTCTCGTCTGAGGTTCCGCGAAACCCCTTCACTCATCAGCTCTGCGACTCTGTGCTGGCAGAAATCGCTTTCACTCAAGCTGATGTTGAAGCAGTTCTTCGCCATCTGGATCCCAACTCAGCAATGGGCCCAGACGCCTTCCATCCACAACTATTGAAGGCGTGTTGTTCGACCTTATCATACCCACTGTACCTCATCTTCTGTCGAACATTGTCAACGGGCTCCTTGCCGCTGATGTGGAAACTCTCACACGTGGTACCAATATTCAAGAAAGGCTGTCGCTCGGACCCATTGAATTATCGTCCCGTTAGCCTCCTGTCAGTACCCGCCAAATGTCTTGAACGGCTCATTTTTCAAAGACTGCACTCGTACCTGATGGACAACTCTGTTCTTGATGACGCGCAATTCGGATTCAGGCCCGGACGCTCCACCGAGGATCAACTTCTCACGTACGATTTCATCTGTAAGCAGAGAGACAGTGGGCATGTAATTGATTTAATCCTGTATGACTTTTCTAAGGCTTTCGACATGGTGTGTCATTCGATACTCCTTCAAAAACTGCGCTGCATTGGGATTCGTGGCGAGCTCCTGACTTGGATTCAGGACTTTCTGACCGGCCGCACCATGCAAGTCGTGGTGAAACACTCACTGAGTTCACCAATGGAGGTGAAGAGCGGCGTTCCGCAGGGGTCCATACTCGGACCAGCCCTCTTTCTGATTTTTATCAACCATGTCGCGTCCCGCCTACACGCCGCCTACAAGATATTCGCAGATGACTTGAAAGTCTACATGTGCATCTCTGACTCAGGGTCCCATGCAACCAAGTTCCAGGAAGATATAGATCTCCTTCAAGAGACCGCAGCATCCTGGGGTCTGAGCCTAAATCAAAAGAAGTGTGCGGTCATGAGATTCCAGCGCAGGTTCCACACGTTAACGAGACCAGAGTATCACCTCGATGGATCAGTAGTTCGATGGGCTCGTTCCCATTTGGATCTTGGTGTCACGATCGATGACGATCTAAAGTTTCACGAGCACGCAAGAGTCGCTGCTAGGAAGGCTGGAGGCATAGCTCACAACTTCTTGAAATCGACACTATGCAGGGAGCGCGCCTTCATGACGCACGTCTTTGTGACACATATTCGCCCCATCATTGAGTATGCCTCGACAGTCTGGAACACAGGCTACATTGAAGACGTCCGACGGCTTGAAGCGGTGCAGAGGCTCTGGACACGTCACATCAAAGCAGGGGTAGCCAGTAACAGTTGGTAGCATTGGGCCAAATGGGCGCTCAAAAACTACTACCCCATAGGGTTTGCATGTTAAATCGACCTTTTTCAAGCGAGCCCCACACGTAAGCTAAAAGATAAAGTGCCATTATTATTGTGGGGAAAGGTAGCCTCAAGCTTCCTCTACAACCTTTTTATCTAGCGTTTTTCGATGCGGAGGCCATAACAGGTCCAAAAAGCATTGGGCGCTGCCCGAGGTACCAAAAGCCCCTCCATGAGAGCCCTAGTTCCTGCGCATGCGCACATTGCCTCCACCCTGTACTAGCGTCAGTTGGCGATACTGCTAACGGACACGATCAGCCAATGAGCGTCCCCAATTACATTAACAGATGTCGCTAGCATCACGTAAATCCTGCTTGCGAACACACTTTAAGAATGAAACAG